TCCCAGCCCTGACATCCCCTGTTCTGAGTCTCCCTCCCAGCCCTGACCTTTCCTGTTCTACGTTTCCCTCCAGGTATAACATCCCATAATTCTATGATGAGTTCATTAAAATGCAGTACCGCTTTCTCAGCATCCTTAGTTCTCATCCAACCCTCCTGCCTCCTCTGACCCTCCTCTGGAGCTGGGGGCTTCACCGGGCCCAGGGCTGTCCGGGTGGTTTTGCTCACTTCAGTTTTCTCCCCTGTCTCTTCACAGAGATGGCAGAGAGGCACAATACTAAACAGATCCTGAAGCTCGCCCGAGACCTCGTCTACAAGGTGCAGACTCTGATCGAGAACAAATAGATGGCCAACTTCCCGTGGAAGTCCCTGCCCGAGGCTTTGTTCCATCTTCTTTCATCTGGAGGTGTCCACACCCTCAAGAAAGACTCTGGGGCCTGGCCAAGGACGCAGGCTGTGCTGGCAGCGTCTGACGGCGTCTCCAGTTCAGATACGTGGCAGGCAGCGGAATGGTTTGTCCCTTTGTGCAACTTTGTGCTTATGTGTTCAACCAAAGATCTCCAAGTCAGAGTCAGTCTCTTCTAGGGGCAGGAAGGGGATGACTGGAAAAGAAGGGAAATGTTCCTCCTTTGCCTCATTGTCTTATTCCTCTCTTCCCTCGAGATCCACCTCCCTGGTCCAAGTGGTCCCCGTGATTTTCTGCAGAGCGGGAGCAATGGAGCCTTCCCGGAAGTGGTCTTGGGGGAGCGCTCTGCCCTGCCCTGTAGTGGGGAGGCTGACCTGGCTGCCCGGCAGGGTCCCTTGTCCCTTGCATGAGCAGCGGGCAGGGATGGAGGACCGCGGATGGCCGTAATGAAGGAATCCACGTCTCTTTCACCTTCTTCCACCCACTGCCAAGATCTGCTGCCCCCAGCCCCCAGTCCAGCCCAGACAAGGAAAAAATCCAGAAGTGCACTGGATAACCCAGCTTCCTTCTGATGCTTGGGTCTCTGTTCGATGCTGCTCCCTCATTCCCTTCCCAGGAGGACGCACTTTTTTTTCTCATGGGGAAGCTTCTCTTTACACACCTCAGTGCCAGCCAAATTCTGAATCCCAGCAGATAAGGATTTCTTCCTGAGAGCTCTCAAGGGGGCTAACTAGGGCTTCCTTGTGGTGAATTCCAGAAGGATGAACAAGATTGGAAAGTCCTTCCTACGTGTTCCCCTCTCACCTTTTTTTCTTTTTTTTTAACTCAGGTAGAAGGAAGGCAAGGATTAGCCCTGTTTGCTGACTCAGCAGGGAGCATAAGAGGTCTGGCTGGGTGAAGCCTTGATGAGGCCAGAGTGGGGCTCAGCTGGGGTCTCTTCCCTAGAAAGGTCCCACTGAGAAGTCAGTCTGTGTTCGGATAAATCTCTACTAGGGGCTCCTTCCTTTTCTGTTGTCCAGCTGGGATGACCTCTGGCCACAGACTCACCCTAAACACCTGGGAGGGAGACTGAGAACAGGGGATGTCAGGGCTGGGTTTTCTCTTCCCCACCTTCCCTTCTCTGAGCTCGATGCCCTAACTCTGATCCAAGGCCACCGATCAGAGAAAGACAGCCCAGATGGGATAGTGAAGCTCCTTCCCTCTTCCCAGAAAACCATTCAGTCCCTTTGAGGTTGACTCTTCCCCTGGCTGTCGACCTGCCTAAAATCTCTCCTGCCAAATGCATAAATAGCATTGAATTGGTTCCAGGGAAACAAAACAAGAACCATAGAAAACGCGACAGGCAGCAGGGTGTGGGGAGGGGGGCTTAGCCTCAGGAAGAACCTGGGTGTGAATCCTGCCTCAGACTCTTATTACCTGTGTTCTCTTGGGCACGTGGGCCTCAGTTTCCTCCTCATCTTGAAAATGAGAGGGTTGGACTGGACGGTCTCTGAGGCCGCTTTCAGCTCTAAAGCGATGGTCCTATATACCACGGGCTCTTCAGCGTGTGTGTACAATCTGAGAGAAGCAGAAATCGTCTGTGGGAACCTTGACTCTCATTTCCAGAGTCAGAAAGTTCTCTCCTCAAAGCTCTGTGAGACAGTTACCTACGTTCTCTTATTCCCGATTGACAGACGAGGAAACTGAGACTCGGAGGCAAAGTGACTAATTCAGACTCACACAGCTCCTGAGTGTCGGAGTTGGGATTTCAAACCAGGTCTCCCGGCTCCAGGTTCAATTCAATAACCATTTCTTAAGCACCCGCTGAGTGCGCGAGAAGTGGAGCAGCCCCTGCCCTCGGGGAGCTTACATTCTCCACCTTCCTTGCATCTTCCATTCCCTCCAGGAGGAGAAGGCTCTCTTGCTATCTGCCCTGCACTGTCCCCTCTCTCCCCTGTTGGATCTGGGTCGTTTTTCTTGACTTAATCCTAAGAAGAGTGTACTTGGCGAACCCTGGGGAAGCCTGGTCTTCCCTACCCTGAGGAACCATATGTACAGGACTTTCAGAATCAATCTTAATCATCTAGAGTCTGAGTACTTAACACTGATCTCAAGATAGAAAGTGCTATCTTCTTCTATTCTGTTTGACGTCACCCGCTTGGTCTCCCATTGCTTTCCAGGTGTTCGGGAACAAAAAACAATCAAACACCTAAGAAGGCCCCTTAGAGACATTTTTAAAAATCCAAATATTCCCAAGTCATCTTGCTTTGGACAAAGTATCTGAGAAATCCTGGACAAAACCTCTTCTCTCTGTTCTGATGGTTTTCCAGAAAGCCATCTTGGCTACTCATTGGTTATGTTCTGGAACCCTGTTTCTTCTACATCTTATGTGTCCATGCATAACCAGATTCAAGCAATTGTGAGTCATTTGGCCAAAGAGACTGATGCATTTCAGTGTTATATATGTATCTTGTAAGTGTTCACCAGAGACTTATCTCTCTTTTCACATATACACACAGGAAAGGCAGGGTGGTACAATTCAGTGCAAATCAGTGAGCATTTATTAAGCCCCTACTATGTACCATTCACTGGGCTAGGCACTAGGGATACAAAGACAAGGCAAAATAAAACACAACACAGTCCCTGCCTTTGAGGCATTAACCACTGGAGGTGCTAACATTCTGTAGGACAGAAGGCATTTATTTGCTAGACTTGGAATCAGGAAGACCTGAGTTCTAATCCTGCCTCTTCCTAGATGTATGACCCTGGGCAAGTCACTTGCTCTCTTTAAAACTTCTCTAAGTTAAAAGCTTCAGTCTGCTTGGGTGTAGGAACCCTCCATTGACAAAATCCCAGATCCTTGGTGTATTGATATCTACCTATGGACAAATGTAGAGAAGTCTATGAAGGGGGTCAGGCTATTAATCATTTTTATTTATTTATTTTGGGAAGAAACTTTTTGCTTCTGAAAACTGTGTGGCTCATGCTTTCCCTCCCTTCCAGTGATGTGTCCAGATGTGATCTTCTTCTCATGCCAACTCTTCTGCTACTCCCACAAAAATTAAGGGCAGAGAAAGGACCCTTGACTCGCCTCTTCTTCCATGTGGGTGGATGCCCATTTGTCTATGTTCAGGATTGCACGAGGCTATGAAGCTGAACATAGCCCTAATCTGAAGTTTCAACGTGTACATAAATATATATATATATATACAAATGTATAGGTATAAAACATATAGAGATATATTAGGTAACTTTGACTTATTTATTGCCTAACCTACCTCATGGAGGGGGTTGAGGATGGGCATTTTCAATTTTGGAATGTTTAAAACAGCCTTGGAGCTAGTTACTTGCCTGCTCTCTCAGGCAAGTGAAATAGAATGCTGGTGTTTTTTTTTGTTTTGTTTTTTTTTTTTTTTTTTAACTACTAGCATCCACTCTCTCTCTCTTGAGGGGGATGATTTATGTGAGCTGGTCAATTTTCAAGTCCTTATTTATAAGACTGGTTTAAAATGTATGATGTGTCCTGTGCGTTATTAATCTAGTCCCTTCTTTGGCTTAACTCGGGTTTAAAAATTCCCAAGGGCAAAGGCAGTTTTCTGTAGAAAACACCTGTTTCCAAAAGGCTTCCAAAAATGGGCATCAGAGCTGCTCATTAGCATCAGCCAACTGGGCTAGACATTGAAGCAGCTTTGACCAAGGGTAGCAGCAGATCCTGGCCACAGGAGAAACAGTGAAACACCATGTTGGAGATCGGAGTAGTTTTCACATCAGAGGGAGAATTTCCATCTCACTCTCCGACTTGTCCCATGTGAACAGTGTATAGAGACTGACAGGCTTTTAAATCAGTGGTTCTCCAACGTCTTGCATTTTCACCAACCCTGCCATCTCCCACAGATCACATATTCACCAAAAACTCCCTGAATGGACCAGGGAGATGGTGCCATGCTAGGTGAGTCACCAGTGGGACAGCACCTGGTTTTATTAGCCAGTCAAAGTGAGTTATTAAGTTGGACCAGAACCACAAATCCAGATGCTGTCAGATCACATACATACGTTCAAACTCCAGAATACCAGTCATCCAGAGGTGACTTTACAGAATTTCTGCTTATGAGAGTCACCTAACTGATGGACTCTTTTTGTGGAACAAGAAGGAAGGTCCTTCATGGTGACCTAGAGAGAATACCCAAAGGAATTTTCCCAGAGGAGCTATCCCTCTAGCCTCCCATATTTCCTGGTGTGTATGTTGATCATTGAAGAGTGAAGAAATGTCTTTCCCTGAATTTGAGGTTGACAGCTGAATCCCCTCCATTTGTGGCTCCTTCTTGTCACTGGTCGCTAAGTAATTGATAATAGGTAGATATCCCCTGGCCCCCCTGATTGCCCAGGGCAGGCACAAAACAAACAATGGGGCCAGGGTTGACCTTATATAGTGAGTTTCCATCAGAAACTATATTTTTAAAAATACAGATACTGTCAGGTATCTGTTTACATCCAAGTAACATACCACTTGGGTATTGAGCTTTTACATGGTATGGCCCACTCGCTTCATCCTAGAGGATTGGTTATAGATCCAAAATATTAGAAAGTCATGAAGCAGCAGCGGGTGGTATTAAGATTTTGTATTTTTGGTCCAGGGCAGCTAGGTTGCGCATTAGATAGAGCGCTGAGCCTGGAATCAGGAAGACCTGAGTTCAAATCTACCCTCAGACACTTCCTAGCTGTGTGACCCTGGGCAAGTCACTTAACCCTGTTAACCTCAGTTTCCTCATCTGTAAAATGAGCTGGAGAAGGAAATGGCAAACCCCTCCAGTATCTTTGCCAAGAAAACTCCAAATTGGGTCACGACGAGTCAGACTTGACTGAAACAACTCAACAACCCAACAACTGCATTTTTGATCTTAGTGACACTTTTTTATTTGGTCCTTTTGATGGTTACTAAAGGAAATCTATGGGATTGCAGACATTTCTGAGGTACCCATGACCTGTGGCCCCTCCACCAGCCTTACTGTCCCATGTTCTGCCACTCTCATTGTTCTGATTCCGTTCTATATCTCAGTTCTCATGTTGTTTCTTTGTCTGCCAGCCTCATTGTTCTGTTCCAACAGCCCCTTTCCCCCAATATCATTCTCCCAGCATCCACATTCTTATATTGCAATGGCCGGTATCCCAACGGTCCCATAGTTCTGCCATCGTTCAGCCAGCTTCATGCCCCCTCAGCCTTAG